TGTCAGTATATAGGAGGCTATGGCCGTAATCCAACGCTATCTTTTTTCTTTTAGAGCGCAGCCCTTCGGCGCCCGTTTCCGGCTTGAGTGGCGTCGCCGTCGACGTCGGCGTCGGCGTTACCGCGCGTAACTCTTGTAACCCTCGTGAGAATTACAAAGGTTACGAGGGCTACTCTCACAAAGATTGCCCTCACAAGGACCACGATGCTTACCTTCGTAACCCTCGTGAGAGTAACCCTGGCAAACCTCGTAACCCTCACGAGGGTTACAAGGGATAGTTATCCTCAAAAGGGTTACCCTCACGAGAGTTACAAGGGATAGTTATCCTCAAAAGAGTTACCCTCACGAGGGTCACGAGCGTTATGAGAGTTACCCTCACGAGGGTCACGAGAGCTACCCTGACGAGGGTCATGATAGTTACCCTCACAAGGGTTACTTGGGTTACCCTCACGAGTGTTAGCCGCACGAATGTCACTCTGGTTACCCTCACGAGGGCCGCGAGGGTTACCCTCTAGAGGGTCACGATGGTTACCCTCACGAGGGTCACGAGGGTTACCCTCACGAGGGTTACCTTCACGAGGGTCACGAGCGTTACCCCCTGAGATCACGTGACCCCCATATGTCACGTGTCCCCTTGAAGTCACGTGACCCCCTGAGGTTATGTGACCCGCCTGAGGTCACGTTACCTCCTCAAGTCACGTGACACCCCCTCATGTCACGTGACCCCCTGAGGTCACGTGACTCCAATGTCGCTTGGCCCCCTCATGTCACGTGACCCCCTCAGGTCACGTGACATGAGGGGACCCCCTCAGGTCACGTGACCCTCCTGAGTTCACGTGACCCTCCTGAGGTCACGTGACCCTCCTGAGGTCACGTGATCCCCCTGATGTCACGTGACCGCCCCTGAGGTCACGTGACCTCAGGGAGTCACCTTTCCCTCACTACCCTTCCATCCTATCGTTTAGTACCCTTCCATCTTCCTCCTCAAGAGCTGCGCTCTAATCTGGCGTTACAGGGAATTGCAAACGCCTTTCATTTTTTTTTCTTTTTCGCACGACTGAGTTAGTGAGGGATAGCAATCGCAAAAGACGAATTGTACTGGGACAATTATTTTGGTGCTGATTGATTCGCTCAAGGGAATCATAGCGTCAGCCGCTTTCGTACCGTGAGTAAAACGAAGCATCGAATCGTTCCACCTGAGGGGCGATTCACACACTTAAGTCGAGTCCGACGGAGTGCAACTGCAGCGGATCGCGACGCACAGATTGCTATGGCAACAGCTGCGACGGCTTTAACAAAACTGGTTTTTACCCCGTTTTGTAGGAGCCGACGAAGCCGTTGCCATCGTCTCAAGTCGTTGCAGTTGCACTCGCTCGGACTCGACGTGCCGCGATTGGTCGGCGGCACGGTCCAGACCCATCGCAGCAGGCTGCAGTGTCCTGGTACAATGGTCCCGATCGGTTCCAGCGTATAGATTAGGGCACCAGGACAACATTGACCACTGATAGTGGTTGGAAATATAGATATAATAATTACTTTTTTTCGTTTTTTTTTCTTTTTTTCTACGGAAAGTTTTTTTTTGGTTTTTTTTTTGAAGAAGCAGATAACACTAATTATGAAAAGCATGACTGCTTATCACATTCTCATTTACGCTCCAGTATAAAATTGTACTGCCTTCCAAGTAATTCCCATTTTTTGTGTAAAAAAGCTTCGCACGGATTGTACACCGGAGAGTTTGTGTAACGCGGCGCTCAGCTGAGATGGCACTAAATATTGAACACCGATACGGCTTGGCGCAGACTTTTCGTGTACTCATTACCAGCAATCAAATTAATTATAATCTCTTAATGTTTTGAGTAATTTGGTTATCATTTAAACACAGTATTGGGAAGTAATTGCAAGAATAATTTGATTACTTTTCCATAGCCTTAAATTAGTTGTAACAGTCACTATTCTTCCTTTCCTTCTCCTTCCTAATCGCGCACTTTGTAGAAGTTTCCTACGAAGGAACCCTCAAACCGAGTCTCCAACGGGAGGATGGTTTAGCAAAATTGGTGGATTAAGAATATGTATATTAGTTTATGTTTGGGTGATTCTAATCGAGAAATGGAACGTGGTAAAACCCTGTCTTTAAACCGGCAGAAAAATCGGTCGCATCGAAATTCTGAATTAAACGGAAACGTAAAGGTTAGATTTTTTCTAAGTAAAGGCCAGCTACTTTTTTTCATAAGTAATCAACGAATCTAAGTAAATAGGTGTTAACCGACAGCAATTCTATTAGTAATAGGTTGCTTTGCTTCGATTGATGTGTACAACACTTCACGCCACCATCACAATCGGTGGAATAAATGGTTTTCAACGCTGCCTATATACATTTTCTCTCTGCTTTGTGGTCTATTCATTTCCCAGGACATCCTGAGGTTTTCAATTATATTAAGTCATCGGTAGCAGCTGTTTCCAAGTTGCGTCATTTTATTTATATAGGAATCATAGCAACCGCCCTGTCTGCAGTTTTTTTACGACCCTAGTCGTCTCGTTTTTGACGATAGCATTGTAATAAAATAAACAGATTCGTCAAGTTATCTCAGCTGCACACCAGCCTTGGTGACTGTTAGATATCATTTGTCAATCCTTTATTTGAGTTAATTCTTAGAAGAAGAAATATGGTACCGATCGGGCACTCTATCGTCTAAGCTATCTTTGCGGTCGAGTTCTAGCAGAAAATACTTTCATCCACCGATCCGGGCAACATGTGTCGTTGAAAAGAACTTGCTGCTGTTCTGTTGCCGAAAGCTGCCACATCAAGGCAACACTGTCACTGCCACCGGCGTTGTGCTGATGTTCACGCAATGTGACACGTTTTGTCTGAGAACAGAGCGACCGAGAACCAAGTTGATTAAGGGGTATTCACACGAGGGAGAAATCCCGGGGATTTCTCCCCGGCACGCGCATCCCACGACGAAAACGTCAGGCTTTGCGACGTGCAAAAGCCTCGCGTTTTCATCTCGTGATGCGCGCGTGCCGGGGAGAAATCCCCGGGATTTCTCCCTCGTGTGAATACCCCTTTAACTGTTCATGCACATATTGCATCGAAGCCGCCTCGGTGTTTCGTCAATGTCACAGGGTATTTACACGCAATCTAACCCAACCTAAATCAAACATGGCCCACAGCAGGTGATTCGTGAGCACACAAGCGTGTAGAATGCATACCTAGTGCTAATTAATCTTACTTCAGTCCAATTAAGTTAGATTGACAGTAATTTTTAGGACTTACGAAGTGGCGAAACAAAAAATCGAACCCCGGTCGGTGCAATTCGCAGAATCAGGCCTTCGCTTGGTGCCGCAAGAAGTGAATAAGAGTGAAAGCAGCTGGGCTAAGTATGATTCACAAACGCCTGCGTGAAAAGGCTCCGACGAGCACGCGCAGATACCTCCCGAAGGACAAAATGCAGCTTCAAAGTGAACTCACGACATTGCGGGTCCTGAATTAAATTAAACTGGCCTTCAATAAAGCCAATAAATATGACGACATCGAAAGCTCCACGAGCAAACCATAACAAATCATAGCGCACATATCTGCAGTTATGGCGAGTTCGCACCATTCTTTCTGCGCGCTCTCGAGCGCTCTTTCCAGAACGCGTGCAATCGAGTGGTGGAAGTGTGGTGGCCTGATCGCCTGGTTCTTTCCGGGGGCGCCCCTTTTTTTCAGTACGCTCCCTAGCACTCCATCTCTAGCCATCGGAGAGCGGAGCGGCGCAGGTGTCACGTGGCGCATGGATGGGGATCACGAGGTTGTGTTGACGATGGCCGGCAGTGGTCTGCGGTGGTCTGCGGGGTCTGGCATGATGGCGATGAACTTCTTGTTCTACAAAGTGCTTGTGATTACGACGGTGCGAGGATTACAACATACGGGACGGCATCCGCTTATTACCGTTACGGTAAAACTTGACGTGAGAAGTGTTCTCTGTGGTTTTACCAGATTGGAAATCACGGTAGTGGACCCGCTAAGCCTAACCGATGAAGAAACAGCTCCCAGGTCTCGCCGCTGTTCTACCGGGTTTTGTGAACGCGTCAAGGAATGTTCAGGTTTGGTAAATGCGGGCTCAGAGGTTTGTGTTGTAAAATAATGGGAGAGCCGACTATAATGCACTGTGATTTGTGTCGCATGGCGATACGTGATACGTCTTGTGGGTGATGATTGCAAGATATTCCGTAGTGAAAAAAAAAATCGTTTTATTAACCAATTCATATTTGCCTCTTCTGCCGTACATATGACCGCTCTCGCACCGCGTTCACTGTAGAAAAGCGATGCGTTGACAACTATTTACAAACATTGGTTTTCGTTCCGTTCTGCAAAAATCAATTGAGATGTTGCTGTTTCTTGTTTTTATATATACATTACCACTGTTAAGAAGTTTTACTCGTGACTGGTACGAGAATGTCAGAGCGCTCTGAGCCCGGCAGTTGTGATCGGCTGAAATAAATTTCGAGCAGCTCTGGCGGCGAGGATGGGGCGCTCTGTTGGATCAAGGTCAGAAGGGAAAGGCGACCACCGAATTCACCATTAGTATAGAATATTTGCCTTTCTGGGTTTATCAAAATTATAAAGAAAATGTTTCTTTTTTTTTCTTTTCGACTTATCATTGTACACATCCCGACACTCTTAGCGCGAAAACGACATTGGCGGATTTTCGCTTTTTACTTCTGAATAGTATTAGCGAGCACGAAATTTTATCGCTTGCATTATAGAACTAAATGAGCTACTTCCGTAGGAATAGTAACTTGGTTTACATCCCTTGGTTTCAAAGAGAAAAACTGGAAAAACCGGCGATCGCTTGTTCGCGCTAACAGTGTAGTGCCCTGTACTACTTTGAACTAGTTTAAGCTAGCCTTGAATCCAAGTTTCCTACATTCCCGTAATAGGCGAGATGCACAACAACGCAGGCTGACCGAATGCACAAATCAATCACTCTCGCCTCTTTTCTTCTTGCGCCTTCACCATGTATCACCAAACCTTTTCAGGCAGCCTTGCAGAATGCCAATTGGAGAGATTATCTGAGAGGTTCGACTGCCATCCCGTGGTTGCCTCCAATGAAGATGCCTGTCTTTCCCGTGGTTGTTGCTGGAAGCCACTCAATGAAACCATGTTGAATGAGAGGACGGCTATTCCGTCATGCTACTTTCCCAAAGACTACGCGGGCTACGCAGTGACTCGCACCGAAACCTCGACGGACCGGGTCACCCTTCATCTCGAGAGAAAGATCCCGTCGGGTATTGATGTCGATATTCGAGCTGTTCGTGTGGAGCTGCTCTTTTACGACCAGAACACCTTGAGGATTAGGGTGAGTTTAAGAGCTCAAAATTTGTTATTGCCACCGTGCTTTGTTTTCCTCTTTTTTTTTTTTTAAATATTGATGTGAGTCAATTCTTTTCTCATTAAGTGCGCAAGGCGCGGTTCAGAAGGTGTATTATGAACGCATATTTAGCATTACTCGGGTTACGGTTGTGTCATGCAGAGACAAAAAGTTGTAAGGGGCACAAATAATAATGAATAATAAAAGTAAATGACAGAAACTGACAGCAGAAATATTGATGTGCCAAGCAGATAAGCGTAACGCGAATGTTTTTTTTTTCTACTTAATGTATAAAAATATAACATTTTTACCTAAAAAAGAAACTACGCAGCGCCGAATGCTCATTCTCCGCCCAAATGTAGAGCTAGCAGTCCGAATCAATTGCCAAAGTTTCGGAACTAACCGTTATCTTAATTACCTTGATTTACGTGTTTTTTTTTTTAAATTTTCGATGGGAAAATGATCGTCGACACATTTTCCAATACATAAATCTGAAAGGCGCCAGGAATACCAAGACCTGCTCTCATTTTCCCATTAAAATGAGCAGAAAAAGAGCTTATTAAGTTTAAATACTGTTAACGTTTAATTTTTTTTAAAATTCGGCATTGGGCTCGGACCACTAGCGCAGATCCGCTAGTGGTCCGAGCCCGGGGGGAGGGGGGGGGGGGGGGGGGGCACTGTATATTGCACTTTCACCAGCTCACTTTCATCCATACATTTTGCTGAATATTGCTGAAAGAAAATATGACTGAAAAAAAAAGAAAATAACTAACACTCTCTGTGCGCGTCTTAAAATCAGAGCCGCAAAGAGACATATACTTGATAACGATGCCGCAAAGCTATATCTTGATTCGGCATGAGTTTTGTGTGAGCGAACGGCTGAACCCTGGTTCCTCGCAGATTTAACCAGAAACCCCAGCCGAGCGGTAACGCAACAATGCTGTTCAATCCGCGCCCAGTGCTGGCCCCTGGAAGCGGAAATAAAATATCCAGAAGTGTTCGCTTCATACCTAGGAGGCGTTATGTGTTGAGGGAATTGGCAATCAAGTTTTCCCTTTAAAAAAATGATGTTTCAGAAAGCGGCAGCTTTACGTTCATTGGGCGGTGCTGGCATTTTTTATCTCAATCATTTCTTTTTATCATCCCCCTCCAAGCGTTCCTGAGTGTTTCAAGCGCATTTTTATATTATTGGTGTAGTAAAACACTTTCGGCGTGAACCTTAGTTGCGATATTGGGTAGGTACCCGCAGCGCGTTCTGAAGCGATAGAAGTAGGCTTAAAATGTACACAAGGTATTGTTCAGGTATTAGACTAAAGTTTAACCCAGATACAACGGTCACAAACATATAGTGGCACGAAAAGGGAATTATGACGGTTGTGCAGAGGGGTGGGCGGCGCGATTCAGCCCACAGATTGTAGTATAATTTTTGAGTTTACAGCGGCACCAAGCTTCACTCCCAGTGAATGGACGAGCATGTTGCATGAATAGTGAAAGAGCGAAATGATCTTGTGACAGTCGGGGCGCAGGTTGTCGACTTCCACAGTATCTTCGTCACTGAAAACTGAATTGCGGGAAAACTATCACCCAAAAAGCAAATGCAAGCGGTTGTTACATTTGCCATTTTAACCCACCATGACAACAAATACCTCCCTTGACTCGAGAATGAAGGGTCATGCGTTTTACGTTCTTGCCTCTGGCTGCCGGGAGAGCAAGGGAAGTTACCATTTTTTTATGACGTATATTGATCTTTACTGCTCAACTCCACTGAGATGACATTTTTAATTTGGGCTCAAAACTTAATATCTCGCAAGCATCGTACGTCCTGGATGTCTTCAAATTGTATCCTCTGAATCCCATATATCTGAATCATGGGAATTCAACCTTGAATATTAACGTCATTCCATTTGCTTCTTCAGTGCTCAGTGACGTCACAACTTCGCCTTGACGTCACTCACCGTTCTTCCTTCAAACCCTCACCGCCCTAATTAAGCCAAATACATTCCTTGCATGTTGAAGAGACCTATGTTCAACTCACCAAGCGACACACACAAAAGCGTCAATACCACAAACAAGCATGACGCTGTAAGTTTACAGATTTGGCGTGAAGACCAAATTGACCTGCGGGTGGGAAAGACCAGATGTTTTGATATGAACCGAAATATAATTTAATGTGATTACTTCCACGCAAATGTAAAGGTGCGTGCTACGTCAATGCATTGTATAAATGGAAAGTGTACCTCCCTACGTTCCTGATGCTCCTGAATTCAATTCTTGTAGACTTTAGGTACTACGGAGAAGCGCTTTGTTCCTCCTGTGCCTCGGATTCCGTCCAGGACGTTTGCTGGAGACCGCCAGTACACCGTCACCTTCAACGAGACCAATGGGGAGATTAAGGTGCACCGCCGTGGAACACCTGATACAGTCATGTGCGTGACCAATATGTTTAACCTTAGCTTTTCATAGTTGTTTAGTCGCACCGGTGAGCATACTGATATACATTATAAAAATAGCCAGTCGAGTGTGAATCTACAGAAAAGTCGCAGCGATAGGTGCAATACCTTATCGGACAATAACGTATCCTTATGTGTCTTACACCTTACTTGAAAGAGCCGTCGTCGATATCTGTTCGAACAAGGGCGAATTCATTCAATTTACACGCACGGAATTCCTTAAGCGGACGTGATGTGTGACCCAGGTATCGTGAAGCGACGTCAGGGTAAGTGCGACTGTCTAGCCGGTGCTATACGAGACTCAAATGTGTGGCTGTCCTCAAAACACGTGGCTCTTTAGGTGGCGCGTTAGAGCAGCTGGCGGGATGTTGTGTGTAGAGCGCTCGCTTCGTCATAAAAGAACCCAGAATTTAATCCTAAGGAGAGCGTGACGTTTTCAGGTTGGACGTCTTTGGTTATATGTTCGGCATTTTGTAAGGCCCAAAAATGAAGCCTGGATAAAAGCGTGGCCGCGAGGCTCGAAACTGATTGGTTGATGTTTGGGAGAGGGGTGAGGTGCTCGACGCAGATTGGCCGACGAGAAGGTCATGTGCTCAAACTGGTAGGCGAGAAGGAGCTCCACCACGTTTGCACTGAGAGAAATGAGCCCGCGCGTATGCAAGGCTCTTGAGGATTGTCAGGTTTATCGGTCCGATTTGTGGTAGTATCGCTTTATTTTAGGAACATAAATCAAGTGTTCAGATGGTACTCATAATACTATGTGATGAAGAGTGCCGTGAACGTAGGAGTCTGGCGTCTGGAAACTCAAGAGTATCGCTAGACGTGTTTAATGCTAGAATGTTACACGTATGGAACACAAGTGGCTAAAAATTTGCCATTAATATTTTTTTTAAAATATGATTTGTCTTTAGCATCTGGCGTTATCCGCGACAGACGCCCTACTTTATCATTTTGTGGGAAAGAGGAGAGGATCTCATAGCAGCTATCGTTGAAAAAGCAAATATTGGCGTTAAGGGACCAGAGCGATACGTCATGGAGACATGGTACATTACAAGACGCTTAGTAGTACTGTACTTGCTATCGGGTACTTCTTTTGTAAAACAGTTCGAAGCGAATGTACAAAGTTTCCGGGTTTCGGTTCGCTTGATACTACGTTATATGTTTGATTGAGAAAATGGGCACCTGACAAACGCCCGTGTGGATAACGCGGCTTGATCTACAAAGCAAAAAAAAAAAAATGTTTCTAACGAATAGTAAGCTTCATCCTAGTGAACTCATTTTGAGTGTATGTGAGATATATTCTCACAATACTAAATCAAATCAAATCAAATCAAATTTATTTGACACCACATCGTACAAGTTATTGTAAATATTTTATTTTTGTCGTGAAAAGTGAATGATGCCACACGTCGTTCAAGTTATTGTAAATGTTTTATTTTTGTCGTGAAAAGTGAATGATGCCAAACTATATGACGATTAAGCAAGCATATTCTCACAATACTAAATCAAATCAAATCAAATTTATTTGACACCACATCGTACAAGTTATTGTAACTGTTTCATTTTTGTCGTGAAAAGTTAATGATGCCACCACATCGTACAAGTTATTGTAAATGTTTTGTTTTTGTCGTGAAAAGAGAATAATGCGAAACTATATGACGATGAAGCGGGTCGGAGACATTTTACAAACCTTTGCATTGCCAGACTCCTGATATATCATTTTTGTTTCTGAGAAATGAAAAATTTATTTTAGTACATCTGCCTCTACTTATTATGTTAGAGAGGAGTGAGAGTGTATCAACAATGTGGGAGCATCTTGAGTGTTTAGTAGGGACGTATTCAAAACGGACGATCAAATCAGTATGACCTTTGCAGATTTCATTTTTTTCAACCTACCACTTGAATCTACGACCGGCTAATTTTCTTAGGTTGTTTGAAAAGTTTTCATGAATACACCCAGATATAGCACACGTCATGACTGGGATATACTTATATGCTCTTACGTTCTTATTCACTACCTGCACTCAAAGCTAATGAGCAGGGCTTGCGTTTGAAAGCGTATTAAAGGAGCTGTGCAACGATTTTAACGTTGAAAGAATTAGCATCTTCTACTTTTGACATTGTTCACCTTGTCACAAATGACAGAAAACACACCTCCTTTCATCGAAATGTTGCGATTCCGCCACGTAATAGCGAGGCAAAACTTAGAATGTTCCCCGACCTTCAGCGGGGAGCGGCGGCCATGAAAAGCACGCGGCGTGACGTCAGTGGGGATCTTGTACAAAGATAGCAAGTTGTGCGAATACCTGCTCAATAAAACGTAACTTTTCTATAAATCTTGACGTTCCAACATATATATATAAATGCGTCAAAACCCTTGTATCATCGACAAAACTTTTATTATACGGAGTTTTAGTGGTGCCATCCATCCTAGGTCCACAAAACCGCGAATAGCCGCCAGAAGGCGGAGGGGGAGGGGGACAGCGCCGGAGGGGTAAGGCAACACCTCCTAGAAGACAAGGCCGTAGTGCTCTTCTCGTGACGTCGCAAAGGAAGGCCATCGGGGGCGCGCGTCGAAGCGAATGCAACGCGCGTAGATCGACCGTCGTAACGCGTTTTTAGTCACATACGCGTGTCATATTAGCTAAAATGAAAGCTGCACATAGCAACGGGTCTAGAAAACATTTTATTACACGAGCAAAATATTACACCGCTAAATAATCGGTACGAAATGGCACGAGGTATGCGTACAAGACGTCAATCGAAAAATGGGATTGTCTTAAGTCGAAAACATTGAGTCATGCAATTATTGTTTAGGAATGCATATTTTATACAGAAATACTTTGACAAAATGGCGAGACACGCAGTGATTTTGAAACAGCAAAACAGAACAGTTAAAAATCAGGTAGACATAGTCAACGCGGACAAGGCAAGACAAGCGTTTCTCACGATCATGTAAGCGACGTTATCGCGTGCAGTCACTGAATTCTTGCATCATACCCCGGCCACATGGCAAAAGTAATGTAATTTCGATCGAATGACATTATAGGGTCGACAAATCCGCTTGCGGCGCTCGTATAATCACTCAAGACCGCGAGCTGATTAAATCCTATATCACTGAATGAAAATATATTAACGTTTCCCTGTGGCAGGGGTACTAAACTTACTACTAAGTCTACTAATTTACTTCTCCCTATGGGCTCGAGCTGCCTTAGAACAAAACATAACTTGTTTTTTATATAATAATACTATCACCTTAATACAGTTAAGATTCTAGTATAAACGCGAAAAAGGCAATAAAATAACTTTAGTATAAATAAACACAGAATCACAAACAACTCACTTTCAATAATCACACAAACTTGATTTTCATCTTCCAGTGAAAACTAGATTAGCGCGCATATTTACAAATGTCGACGCAACTGCATACGAATAATGACAAGGAACAAAATTGCAATTTATCATGCGATTAAAAAAAACGATTGCAGCATCTTACTTGCGTCCTACATGAACAAGAAAGCCCGTAAATAAGTTGTTTCTCACCTGTCGATCGTATCCATACGTCCCACAATATCCGTGACGAACACATTTGAATACGAACTCCAAGAAGCCTCTCTCTGTCGAGAGAGAGGTCTATCGATTAGTCGACCAGAGCCTTCGTTGGCTAGTTGTCACACGTCACTCAAACCGTAGCAGGACTTGTTTCACAAATGCACGCAAAATGCCGTAGTATCAAGCGAACACACAAAAAAACTACCCGAGACTACGGTGATGACAGAAATACGACGGGAAACAAGTCTCAAAAGTACCACACACGAGAGCAACGGCGACGAAAGCAGCGGCGACGAGAGCAGCGGCGACGAGAGCAACGGCGACGAGAGCAGCGGCGACGAAAGGCTTAACGTTGTCGACCCATCTCTTGCTGGTGTGGGCTCCCTGCGACAACGACTGGATTTCTTTTCGGTTTGCTTCCCTTCTGAGATGTCTCAGCGTTCCTTTTCAGACAGTCAGCAGCTCACACACAACGTAAATTTACCAGAATCGAAGCCATGTGGCATCAGCAGCATCGAAGCCGTCCTTTCGAAAAGTGTGGGGTGCTGCGGAACTGCACGTAGTCCCGCGGTTACGGGAATACTCATAAATATAATTTTGGTACTCTCAACCTTGGTAGCGCGTTTTATAATACGTTTATATTATATATATAATAAATTGTACAAGACTGCGCCTTTAAAACGTATATTAATGTCGGATAAACGCGCATGAACGAACACCACCGCGCCGCTTGTCAAGGGACATTGTTTTCACGTCGATAGCGTATTCTCACGTAGTTGCGCCATGGACTTCCTTCCTCCGCCATTGTGACGTAACCTCTCAGAGCGCTCTGGCCTTCTTCTCTAGGAGGTGTTGGGTAAGGACGGGTATGGCCGGACCCGCATGAGACTTTCCTCCTTTCACCGTATATTTCGCGGGGCGCCCGCCAGCACGTGGTCACGCGGTCGCGAGCGGATGAGTTCTCGCTGCTCGCTCATGGCTCTAGAGAGAGAACTTTTCCGGAACCCCGCGCCTACTCAAGTGACGTCACTGCGCACGTGACCCGGAAGACGATGTACGAGTTGAGAGGCGGCAAAAACCCGGATCTTTTTCATTTTTTAAATAAAAAAGTGAAAGCCGTTTACAACTCCCTGTAACACCGAATTAGAGCGCAGCTCTTGAGGAGGAGGAGGGAAGGGTACTGGGGGGTGAAGTGACCTGGGGGGGGTTCACGTGACCTTGGGGAGTCACGTGACCATGCCGATGATGTCATCAGTGACGTCACTGATGACGTCATCCGTGACGATGACGATGCGGACTCCGATGACGTCATCAGCGATGATGACGATGACGATGCGGATGTTGGTGACGTCATCAGTGACGTCACTGATGACGTCATCTGTGATGATGACGATGACTATGCGGATGTCCCCCCGAAGTCACGTGACACCCCAAGGTCACGTGACCCCCACCGTGGTCACGTGACCTCCCCGATGACGTCATCGTCACTGATGACGTCACCGGCATCCGCATCGTCATCGTCATCATCACTGATGACGTCATCAGTGACGTCACTGATGACCTCACCGGCATCCGCATCGTCATCGTAATCATCACTGATGACGTCACCGGCATCTGCATCGTCATCGTCATCATCACTGATGACGTCATCAGTGGCGTCATCGGGGAGGTCACGTGACCTCCGCGGGGGTCACGTGACCCTGGGGGTGGTCACGTGACCTGGGGGTGTCACGTGCCTTCGGGGGGGGGGGGGGGGGTCACGTGACCTCGGGGGGGGGGGTCACGTGACTTCAGGGGGTCACGTGACTGGGTGTCACGTGACCTTGGGGTGACCTTGGGGGTCACGTGACCTTGGGATGACCTTGGGGGCCACGTGACCTTGGAATGACCTGGGGGCCACGTGACCTTGGAATGACCTTGGTTACCCCGACGCCGACGGCGACGCCGACGCCGCTCAAGCCAGGAACGGGCCCCTAGGAGCTGCGCTCTAAAAGTGAAAGCCGTTTACAACTCCCTGTAACACCGAATTAGAGCGCAGCTCTTGAGGAGGAGGAGGAGGGAAGGGTACTGGGCGGGTGAAGTGACCTGGGGGGAGGGGTCACGTGACGATGCCGATGATGTCATCAGTGACGTCACTGATGACATCATCAGTGACGATGACGATGCGGACTCCGATGACGTCATCAGCGACGATGACGATGACGATGCGGATGCCGGTGACGTCATCAGTGACGTCACCGGCATCCGCATCGTCATCATCACGAATGACGTCATCAGTGACGTCATTCGTGATGCGGATGCCGGTGACGTCATTCGTGATGCGGATGCCGGTGACGTCATCAGTGACGTCACTGATGACGTCATCAGCGATGATGACGATGACGATGCGGGTGCCGGTGAGGTAATCAGTGACGTCACTGATGACGTCATCAGTGACGATGACGATGACGATACGGATGCCGGTGACGTCATCAGTGACGTCACTGATGACGTGATCAGCGACGATGACGATGGCGATGCGGATGCCGGTGAGCTAATCAGTGAGGTCACTGATGACGTCATCAGTGGTGATGACGATGACGATGCTGATGCCGGTGACGTCATCAGTGACGATGACGTCATCGGGGGGGGGGTCACGTGACCCTGGGGGTGGTCACGTGACCTGGGGGGTGTCACGTGACTTCAGGGGGTCACGTGACCTTGGGGGTCACGTGACCCTGGGACGGTCACGTGACCTCTAGGGGTCACACCTTGGGGGTCACGTGACCTTGCGGTGACCTTGGGGGTCGCGTGACCTTGGGATGACCTTGGAGGTCGCGTGACCTTGGGGTGACCTTGGTTACGCCGACGGCGACGCCGACGCCGCTCAAGCCGGGAACGGGCCCCTAAGAGCTGCGCTCTAAAACTAGGGTATCCAGGCAAAATCTGTTTTCTGTAGTTCAGTGCAGAAGTGTCAGGCATCAACTTCAACAAATATTTAAGCAAAGCCCTGAAATTGTTGCACAGCTCCTTTAAGTTGATGGGAAGCCCTATAATAGACCCTTTTCTAAAGTCCGCGCCAAACCTTGTTTGTCATTGCTCGCTCACATACTCTGATCATGTGTTGAAAACGAGGCCTCCGTCAGCGTTCGGCGTGAGCTCGGCTCAGCTCGTATCGGGAGTAGGTGTGACGTCAGCGTTCGGCGAGGAATCGTATCCGATCACGCACTTCGGGTGCAAACAATGGCGACTGCCAATGTTGCCTGATGTATATTTAAAAGGGGTCTGCTGTAATGAGAACTATTGCCTCACGACTGCAGCTTCCAGACGCACCTGTCCCGGCTAGTGTTTACCGAGAAGTTTCTGCAACTATCGACACTCCTGCCCTCCGACGTCGTATACGGCCTCGGCGAGCAGTGGTCTCCGCTCCGAAGAGGGGTCAACTGGACGCGCCACGTGATCTTCAATGACGGAGCTCCACCCACGGTATCTTATTCTAAGTATTGCGCTCCTATTGTCCACAAAATAAACTCAAAGATGACCACATAGCACTGAGTTGTGGACTTAATATTTTTTACCTATTTTTTAGCTCACCAAAACATGTACCGAACCATTTTTTTTTGTATTGATTTCATATAGCTCGTGATCTTCATACCAGTGTTTTAGACGTTACAGACAAAATGTATCCAAATAACTATCTTGTTCCTGGCAAAATAAAGAACCGCGTTACCCACCTTCGTTACCTACGTTTGTCGACGGTGTCAATTTTGACACTGAGACAAAGGGCGTGGGCATTTAAGTTTTTGCTCAGATTTCACTTTTTCGGTGGGTAAAAGAAAGGAAAAAATTGAGAGGTCTAGAATGAGTGAAATATTGAATAATGTAGCACCAAATTTAGTTTCACATAAAAACTTAAAATAAATTTAGGGGCACTTTTTTGTGTCTTGGGAATATTACGTAACGAGTAACGTATTTTTCTGCCTATTACCCGTAACTCGAAATAAGTAACGTAAGTACGTTACTCGTTACTGTTTTCAAAAAGTAACAAGTACGTTACTATGTTATAGAAAAAAAGTAACGCTTTACAGGAAACGCAGTTACTTGTAACGTATACCGCCAACCCTGCTTTGTACACGAAAAGCCGCAAATGCTCTAAGGTGATTTTGAAATTTTTCAAACATAATTTTGCGCGTAAGAAGTGTTTGTTGTCGGAAATTTCGACAATCTAAACCTTTATATGCATCTTCGATTTTTTTTTTTATAAATCGCAAGACTGAACTGTGGTTGGTTGGATCGGTAGGAGTTACTACTCCATGCCGTACTATGGTTCTGCCCTGGTCATCTGTTCGAAATCTTTCGCCACGTGACGACTAAGCACGCACAAATCTAGAAGAAGTGCACCGCGCTTAACATTGTTGCTACTGAATCCCCGAACTACACCCAGCTCGACGAGGTAATACGCTGGAAAGCGATAAACCCGTGCACCTTACCTTGGCGTCGACTTGCATTGTGTTCATCGTGATGCACTGCAAGCCGCATGTGCGGCGACGCGGGCGAGGGGTGGGCGGCGCTGCATGGATCCGCTCATGATGAAACTATGGTAAGAATCGCGCAGACCTTGCCGTTTAGATGGTTTTGGTGAAGCGCCATCGATCGCCTCAGGTATGAATTGCAACACACACACATAAATATATGCCGAAGCACATCCTAGAAGAGTGGCCCGGTCGCGGTACGCTACCACGATTTTTGGAAGTTAATCGACAAGTACGCTTTATTGAAAATAATGTTTTAGTGTCATCTGCACAAGGGGCTGGCAGCAAATGGAGCTAAAATCTGCCGCAAAACATAGCTCTTTAGTTTTGAGTCATTCGAAGCATCAAGCACCTACAGGTCGCCAGACCTCGAGTACTCACTTGAAACTTTCAAACCTAGATTACGTTGGAGGGTTCATCCGGAGGGAAGACACCGACATAAAAAAAAGTAACCGGCAAGACGAACATAATTGTTGTTCGGTAAATTTGACGAGCCAGACATGGCCTGCAAAATTTACTGGACGGTTTTGGGGCAAAAGGGGCACAAAATTGACATAAGCAGGGTGACTTAACCAACTCTTCGAGGCTGCTTGATGTAGCTATGGAAATGACACGACCACCGACCGCTTAATTAGGTGGATGATGTCTTGTGCGCCACATTTGGTAGAATGCGTTGACTTGGTATATCTCAAACTTCGGTGGACATTGAAATAGTGTTACCGCTGCAGTAGGGCTACCTCGTGGGTGGTGTTTCGCTCCAACGAATATTTGACCCCATTGATTATTTCTCCAGGGTGGCCACAAATCGTGTTGTCGTTGAAAGTCGCATCATCAGCTATTTTACCTATCTATTCTATACTTAAAATAATTTGTTCAGTGATGATCAAAGCAAGCTGCACTTTTTGTGTATGTTTATTAACAGTATTATAGTTATTAATTTTCTATGTGTGAGAGAGATCCGGTGGCCGAGTGTGTCGGGGCAACGTAGCTTGTAGCACGGGGAGCGCACGTTTGTGGTGAAGAATACGGTAATCTTTATATATATGCCGACCCCTTCCCGTTTTTATATGGATAAACATTAAACCAGGTTGTGTATTTTTATCTTTCACTACTGCGTAATGCCCCCCAAAGAGCACAGTGCAAAAATTGTGCTGCACCAAATAAATTGCAAATCTACGAACGTGGCCCATTTCCGACGTCCTTTACAGCTAACTAATTTACAACCGTCTAAGCATGCATACAACACATTATTTACCTTTTTTATTTGTCCTCTGGGACTGTATACCTCCACCATTACTCCTTGATTTATTATTGCACGTTTGAAGATACGCGTCTTTGCAGTGCTCGAATGCCTTCCACCCTACACTTATTGTTCTTTCAGGTAAACAGGAACATGTATGGCTCACATCCTTTCTATATCGGAGTGGAACGTGATGGAAAAAGTCACGGAGTTTTCCTGCACAACAGCAATTCCATCGGTAAGAATAACATAGATTAACCAAACAACGACGTCGGTCAGGTTGTCCGTCCTCTTTTGTGTAGTCACGTTTAACTCTTCCTCGACCACGCCCATAGGCCATCGAGCCCCGGTAATCGATGGTTTCCAAGCGCAGTCAAGAAATTAAATTTGTGCAGCATTATGCTCTACAATCTCGTGGATAGCCGAAGATCTCTAGTTATAGATACAACGTATGTTTGAGCTTAGTAACAGATGGTGTTTTTTACAGATTTCAACTGTATTGTGGCATACATTTTTAGATATGAGGACCTCTGGGGACGTTTTCAATTAAGTTATACCCGTCGTGTAACAGATGGTTGACGATAAGCATCACTATAATTGCCAAGGCTGTCCTGAGCCGGTGTGCATATTTTATGATGCCAACAAGGCGCGCAGAAATACTAAATATGAGGAAGCTTCAATCTAGGCTAAAGCAACAACAAGGTAGAACACAAAGAAAGCTTGCTTCTGTGGATGTGAGGATCTGTGTTTCACCCACAAAAGCGAACCTTATTTGAAAAGCAGACGTGTTACGGAGGCTAACTCTCCGACGAACCAGAAATAGAAAACGTCCGTTAGAGTAGACTAACTTTCGGAACTAATCGCCGTGGGTGTAGGGCATATTTTCTTTATTCTTCAATTTTTTTATTTGTCGATTTATTTCACATAGCTGTAGAACTTTGGGCGTTTACACGCTGTCCGGACTTACATTGTACATACACAAAAGAAATTTAATATTTTTTGCACATTTTAATGACCCTAGTTTCCTTTAAAAGGAACAAATATTCGTCCACATTTTGGTGTGTCATATTGCTTCATAGATAAGTTAGTTAAGAAAAGAAAAACTCCCGAAGGTTCCTTGGGAAATGAATACTCTTCCCATCTTCAGGAAAAAGTTAAAAAGTGGAGAATAAAAAAAGAAACAAAAAGAGGAACGAGAATTAAACATCGCATGACAGAGTACGGTTCTGTCCGATATATATGTTTAATACTTTATTAAGGATTTAAAATTTACCAACACGCACATCTCAAAGCGAATAAAGACTCATCTACTTCAAATGAACACTGAATTGCAGATCCAACCAGAGTATCTAAAGTATAGGTCGGATACGATTAAACGTTTTATCAAAAAACTGTGTCTGGTATATCGCAAATGTGTTCTAAATACACGAAATGTATAGATCCTCTCGCGTCACGGCGCCACGTGACGTTGCGTGGCTACTTAAAACCACGACTAGAAAGTGTCACGCTGTGGGACGTTACAGTGTCATGTTACACCATCGGGTCACGTGATGTCAGGCCACGATATCCCATCATTGTGTTACTTGAGTCAATAGCATTGCGTAATATCACGTCACGTAACCACGTGACGTCAGATAAAGTGAAGCGACAACCCGACCTTACACAGGCATTTGACGTCTAGCTGTAATGTTACGTCATGGTATCACGTGATAACCGTTATACTGACGACGTCAAGGGCACACCGTGACGTTATGACCGCTAGGAGCTGAACATATCAAAGATAAGTATTTAAAACTTTGTGCCTTTGGTACCTGCTTACAAAATTAGAGCTCCAACACGATCAACTGTGCAACAACCAAACCATTGAAAATCTCTGCACCTGCTGGTAGCAAAAAAATTATACAGATAAGGTTATGAATTGAGAAAGATAGGAACGGGTTAGATATTTTCTCGTTCGCACCAGTATGTATCTAGCTTTTTGGTGACTGTGTTGGCACTCGAAACTGCGAAGCCTACAGGCGCTACTTCACGTGCCTCACTCGAACAGCAGTTCTTGCACAAGTTAGAACCAGTCTGTGGTAACGACGAAGCCACCCTTGTAACGTTTTTTATTCTGGTGAAGCAGATAAACAAGCTTATATAGCCCTACACCTTAGGAAACAATGATCCATATAGTCCTCCCTCAAGTGTGTAACGCTCTTGACACGCATGTGCATTCATAAACAGAGAAACCTTGGTCCCTGAAAGCTCGGAAGCAAACTTCCTCCGTCGTCTGCATCGCGTTATGGCGGCCCGGAATCAAGCGCATCGACCTAAATGAGGTTTAATGAGGACGCTACATCTATTGTACGGGGTGAGAGGAGCAGGAAATGAAACCGGAACACGAGCTTTCCGCAAACTGTATTTATTTGCGAAGCCAGCTTCTTCCGCAGGTAAAGAATCACACACATAAACTGAGTTGTCACGACGTTAGCACTGCGATGTTAAACAAAGAAAATCTATACCCAGTTACTTCACGCAATTTGCGCCTTACCTTTCATGTTCCTTGAGCCACAATTTCTTCGTCAGTACCGCACATCACGGGGGAGCAGTAAGCCATTCGCAAACCCACAAGCCGCCTTCAAAACAGCACATTCTAAGCGGCCTTCGGGACACGTTGCTGCGAGGTAACCAGAAAACATTGCGTCGGGAAGCGAGAAAGATGGTTAAATCGATTGCCACCAGATGACAGGGTTAAGCAGAGTAATTGCAAGTAGCTAGGCTAGGTGGTGAAAGTTACCGCCCACTTCATGTGCTACAAACACATGTTTACTTGCTCACGTCAACATTAAGCTTCGGGCACCCTTATTATAGACATGTGCAGAAGCATAGCGCGTACCAGAAGATGTTTGTATCTGCCGCGTACGCGGCACATATAAACGTAAATACAACAGCACACTACTTCCAGTCTCTGCGCTTCCGCCGTTTATAGTCGTCGTTTTCATGGTAAAGATATAAATAAAAAAAATATTATCCCCAGCATATAGATTTCTCTTCAGTGATGTCATACCTCTGAAAGTATTGTGAACGGCTCAGAGGATGAATAACCTGGTAAGAGCTAAACACTGATGCCGTAATTATTTGAATGCTGAGAATGCAATCCGATCCTCTGCGGTTTTAGGCCATGTGTTCGCTTCCCCGCACATCAGGTTTTTTTATCGCAGTATTTGTTTTGTTTGATTTTTGCTGTTCGCGTGCGACTGATATTGTCGTCTTGATTGAACCCTTGTAGAGAGGGTATTTACTCAGCTGGAAGCGATAATCGCTCTTCTCTCAACCGGAATCCAGTCAAAGTTACGGCTTGCAGCAGTTATTGAGTGCTCGGAGCTACGCGTTCGTGAGCTTGAAAACTTCGAGCGCTCATCACAGCGCGCCACTTGGAGGGCAGTTTCTCCAGGCACCGTATTATATTTAAACAGAAAAGTAACGAATATATTTTTCGTCGTTTTTACCTACCACCCTGCCTTAATGCTAAAATTTGAAACTGCAAGTATACTTATTTCAGTAATATTTCAAGTCTGATCAGTCCTTCCGCAAGAGCGTAATCGCTCTCGGGAAGGGGACAACAGGATATCGTAGACGACAGTCACATTGGCCACTGTACTATAAGAGCTGCAGTTCAGACCAGTGTTCCAGCATGATTATCGGCAGGTGAATTGTGGCGTATTTTTATCCCGTGAATCTGAATCGTTCTCCCCGAAGATGTATCTAAATGAGAGAAAACGCGAAAAACCTCCGACCAGTCGTGACGTCATACTAGGATCTTTGGGGCGCCAAGCGCGTGTCTTGTCACGTATATTCTCCCGCACTAACACTAGTCGTGACGTATCCTTCTGACCTTTCTGAAAATAGCAAGAGTGCGCGTGCATAGCCTTGAATCGGCGCAAAGATGCGCGAAAGCAGAGAATCCAAAACCCATAGCGTGACTTCACGTCCCGGGAAGGAGGGGCTCGGCGCTACATTAAGAATTAATTTCTGCTGTCTTTGTGCACCAAGTTAAAAAAAAAAAAAGAAATCTTGATATTCGTTATTTCAGAGGCTGAATGAAGCCGATTGAAGTGCTTTTTCTTCAAATAGAGAACCGCTTCAGAATCGCTTTAAATGTAAAGCAAAATGCCAACCATAGACACCCCCCTCTCCTTTCCCACAACGTTTCGTGTTGTTTACATCACTGAACCTCAAATATACGGTCACATAGGCGACAATTCTAGTCCTCGTGTCTTTGTTCGCAACGCACAACACTGCCGTCGCTATGTTGCTTCTATGTTGCTGACACGCAGGAATACAAAATTATGTTGATTGCCGGTTGACACTTGTCATTAGAAAACAGAACCGAACTCAGCATAGAAGAGACGCAGGCACCCGGCAGAAAAACCTGCCTGTCTTAAACGCAGTTTCCGCGGTTTTCATAACGTCGTCAACGCCGAAACGTCCTTCCGCAATCCTGAGCAGGCCATCCTAACCCAGAGTACGTAGCACTGCTGGCACTGCTCCGCAACTTTGTTGGTTTTAACGCCTTCGTTTGCTCGTTTGACAAAATTAGTGGTAAAAACTTCAACGCAACTGGGTTGTTCTGCACGTTTGGACCGAGAGACGTGATTACAGGCGGCCTTCGCTGACGCCGAAGTTCGAGCAAATCAACAACATTTGTTAATGAACGCGCGTAACTTGCTTGAAAAACGATACGGAAAAAAAGATAAGGCGGGAATGTGAACTTTTCTCCTTGTTTGTCCGGAGAAGAAAAAAACCGTCTCGTTCCTCCCTTCTCCTTGTGCCCGCTTGGGGGGCGTCACTAGGAGAGAGAAAAACGCTCCGTTCTAGCTTTCTCTCTCTTTTACTTTTTTTTTCTAAGACAGGAAGGAAACATATTATTTCAGATAAAACGTGCCTATTATTTCATAGAATACATCTCTACTTATCGAATTGCTACCAAACCAAACAGTATTTGGTTACAATCACTGACGCAAACTCCCATTCCGAATTCTCCAACATATAAAACCCCACAGTTGTTGTTTTTAAGATAGAACGTTCTTTTCATCTGAGTTCATCGGCGATGTTCATAATATATACATAGAATATCGTGGCACCTTGTATTATCACTGTATCACAATACCATTGTTTTTATTAAAACAAATATCAAGTTTAAGACCCCAGGTAGTATGCCATAAAAGCGCCTTACTTGGCACAAGCTCGGCATTC